CTGTCAAATAAATAAATAAAATCTTAAAAAAAAAAAAAAAAAAAAAGTAAAATCTTTCCTGGAAGTACCCTAGCAGACTTCCTTTTGTCTCATTGGCCGAAACCACCTCATGTATCCACTCCAGACCGCTCCGTACCAGAGAATTTGCTTACCCCAAATACAGTTCATCCCGGCCCTGGACTGGCCTGTATTCAACTGTACTCAATTAAATACAGTTGAATCCTGTGAACAACAAAAGAGAAAGGGCAGGCTTCTGAGGAAGTGGCCTCATAGATCTAAATTCCTGTGATTCTAAGTGCCTGGCTTGTAGGGAGGCTGCCTGGTTATTCTGCAGGGAGCGACTGCATTCTCTGGTGGGGTAATGGACAGGAATAACATTTTTTTTTTTTAAGGAATGGCTGTAGATTCCTGAATGAGGAGGGAAGCAGAAAGGATTTAGAAATAGATGGATTCTTTTTTTTTTTTTTAAGATTTTATTCATTTGAGAGGGAGACAGAATGACAGAGAGAGAGTGCATGAGAGGGGGGAGGGTCAGAGGGAGAAGCAGACTCCCCGCTGAGCGGAGAGCCTGATGCGGGACTCGATCCCGGGACTCCAGGATCATGACCTGAGCCGAAGGCAGTCGCTTAATGACTGAGCCACCCAGGCACCCCTAGAAATAGATGGATTTATTGGCCAAGGAAAATTCAGTGAGCAACGGAGCCCAGCAGGTCATTTGTAGTAAAGGCCCCACGATCGTGCTGCCCATTGCAGAGAGTTGCCCTCAGAGGGAGGAGAAAAGATTAGGGATCACTGTCACTTACGAGGCAAGATCTCTGTTAACTTCCTCAGCAAACTGTACCAGTTCCCCTGCCTCCAGACCTGTAGCATTAGGTATTCCTAATAAGTAGAATCTTCTTTTAAAGCCGTTTGATAACAAATCAGGTAACAAATAAGGAATGCATTCATAATGGCCATATCATTAAGAACCTACTATATATGTGCCGGGCCCTGGGACACCAACACAGAAAGGACAAAGTGCCAGTCCTTAAGAGGTTGACATTCTAGTTGAGGGGAAAACACACATATTAGATAAATAAGCTCTATGCCAGGTGTGTGTCTGGGGCCAGAGAGTGGGAGTGGCCACCTCAGCCTGAGAGGTGATCAGGAACGGAGGTGACCCTTGAAACAGGAACAGGTGTTTTATCCCATGTCGAAAGCAGCATGAGGTGGCCGGGGGCGGGGGGGGTTGCCCAGCACGGGGTAGGTGGGGCGGGCTGAGGACAGGCTTTCTACTGCAGGCCGGGGAAACTGGACACTTTCCAGAGACAGGTCTTAAGGTAATGTGTATCCAGTTATTTCCCAGTTTTCTTCCCGGAGGTTAAGATTTTTTTCTCATTTCCTCAATACCTGACATTGAATACATATTATGGACCAACTGTGAATAGCAAGCCTGATAGCTTTGCTACGTAAACCATATATGGGCTAGTTTATGGCAAAATGTCTAAATTTAGACATTTGCGTTACGATTTCTAGCAGTTTTAAACAAGATTTCAAGTTTTAGAACTACTAATTTAATATTTGCTACAGTATTTCCCTGTTTTTGTCAGCTTTGCTGCTAGCAGAGAGAGGGATGTTGCCAGAAGTCTTGTTCTCCAGCAGTTTCCAGAGGTGACTGTTCTTACGGTCTGAGACAGACCTCTCGTGTATTTGTGGGAGGCCAGAAGGATTCTTGCCCAGAGCCGCCAGGCAGTGCTGCTGGGGTCCTGGGGGCTCCAAGCCTCACTTCCTCAGGCTTTTGTTCAAGTCTCACCGAATCAATGGAGGTCAAACCTCCTTTGACCTCTTGAAAACTCCAGTCCCTGCCAGTCCTGATCTTCCTTACTCCGCTTTTTCTTTTTTCATACTACACCTCTCCTGTTAACACACCATATAATTTACTAACATGTTTGTTGTTTAGGATCATCGGTCTCCCCCTACTACAATGTAAGTTCTTTCAAAGCAGGGATCTTGGGTGTTCTGTTCACTGGTGAGGCGCACCACCTAGAACAGTGCCTTACAGAAGACCTAGACTCACAGATCGGGATGTGGATAATTAGAAAGCACCCTCTAAGACTTCTCCCCTTGTTCTCACTGACCATGATTTGTCACTCAACAGAGCTGCGCTAGTAAGTCAAGAATGAAACTCTTACTGAGCTTGTTGGAGCAAAGGTGTTCCTACCTATTTGCATGTCTTCACGTTGAGGGTAAAAGGCCATGGTACCCCCTGAGGGTGAACCCTAAAGATTGTTGGGGTAAAGGCCACGGAACCAAAGCAGAGGTGGGGTCTCGGACTCCGGTTACAGAGTTCTGCACGCTGACGGTAACAGATGATGTTCTTTTGGACAGGTATAAGAGTTTGGTCACTGGGACTCGAGCGAGAAGAGTCATTGCTGCCCTCTGGGTCCTCGCCTTTGGCATCGGACTGACCCCGTTCCTGGGCTGGAACAGTAAGGACAGTGCCACCAACTGCACGGAACCCTGGGATGGAGCCACCAACAGAAGCTGTTGCCTCGTGAAGTGTCTGTTTGAGAACGTGGTCCCCATGAGCTACATGGTGTATTTCAACTTCTTTGGGTGCGTCCTGCCCCCGCTGCTCATCATGCTGGTGATCTACATCAAGATCTTCATGGTGGCCTGCAGGCAGCTTCAGCACATGGAGCTGATGGACCACTCCAGGACCATCATCCAGCGGGAGATCCACGCCGCCAAGTCCCTGGCCATGATCGTTGGCATTTTTGCTCTCTGCTGGCTGCCACTACATGCCATCAACTGTGTCAGTCTCTTTCAGCCAGCCCGGGCAAAGAATAAGCCCAAGTGGGCAATGAACACGGCCATTCTCCTGTCACATGCCAACTCGGTGGTCAATCCCGTTGTCTATGCCTATCGGAACCAAGACTTCCGCTATACTTTTCACAAAATCATCTCCAGGTATGTCCTCTGCCAGACAGGTGTCCTCAAGAGCGGGAACGGGCAGGCAGGGGCACAGCCTGCCCTTGATGTGGGCCTATGACCGAGGGCCCGGCCTCTTCAAGAAGGCACACGTTCACAATCAGCACAGGGACGGGACGGGACGGGACGGGACGGGACTGGCTGATTGCTGTTGTTACAGCTACGTCGTGTCAGCGCATGGGCTCCCTCTCGAGTGACCACATACCCAGCTAATATGCACATGTTATTAGTCGGCTCCAAAGGTTCACAAAGTCTTTCTGGCTCTTTCTGGCTGCTCTGTGTGGATGATGGCGATGGCCTGAATGGATTGTAAAAGACTGTTTTGTTTTTTTAAGAGTCTGCCTCTTTTCATGGTAGAAAATGAAACTATTTTACTGTGAAACACTGTGAACTATTATAATACAAATGTTTTGTTTTGTTTTTAACTTAGAGGCAGTGAAAGAATAAAAGTTGAACGTACTAAAAATAGATGCTTGTTCCTAGGAAGGTGACCAGGAAAATTAAGTGTAATTCTTCAGTCAACAAACTGCTATATTTATTTGGGGAAATGCTACTCTTGTAAGTTTGTAAGTAGAATATCCTTCTTTGGTAACATTCTTTTCCATGTACTAGTGGAAGAAACCGGAGAGATGGAATCCCTCTCTGCCAGACTGCATCTGCCCCTTCGACAGTCAGATAGTCAAGTGTAGTCCTCTACCATGCTGAAGTCTGGCCACGCTGCTGGGGCCCAAGTGTGAAAATCTGAATAAGTAAAAATCGTACAACCATGTACATCTATTATGTGAAATAAAAATAAAATTTCACAAGCTTAGGGTGCTGCATCCACATTCTGTTCTTTATTCTGAAGATTGCTTAAAAAGAGAAGTTTATACCCAGCTCAAGTTTCCCAAGGAGTCGAGTCTTGACAGGTTTTATCTGTGGCAACAAAAGGCTCTGCCCAGCAGGGACCACGGTGCCACCGGCGCCCTGAACCATGTTCACGCGCTGGGCCGCAGGTTTCCAGGGGCCCGGGGCTGGGCGTTGCCCGGGCTGTAAAATCTGTTTCATCTGTTTGTTCGCTGCTGCATTGCCTTCTGCAGTATCCCCGTGAGGACACTGCAGATTTATGAGCCCTGGTGGCGCCAGAGCATTCCCGGCCCTCCAGGCTCCTACTCTGGCTGTGAGCAGCTTTACTTACTAAGAAGTTCTCCTGGGCTGCACGCAGGCTCATTTTCCTTCCTTTGGCTTGTTATAAAGCCCCGCAGTGCACGCAGGGCATGACCACCGCTCTTTCCTTGTTTTCGACACCACCTTTCTAACGCTGCAGCCTGTGTGAGCTTTCCTGGCACCAGCTCCACAGACTGGCTGCAGCTCACTGAGGCGAGAACCCCGAGGTCTTTCTATGCTGGCTGCTCTTCAGCCACATCTCTGCGCTCGCTGATCTTCTGTTGCTGCAGGGAACCTCCTGGATCCCAGGAAAGGAAGTCACACTTACTCATCTAAACTTCATCTGACCAGTTTCGTCTACTATTCCAACCTCTTAAAAATTACTAGTACTTCAGTAACTTAAGAATCTAACTGGGCACCTGGGTGGCTCAGTGGGTTAAGTGTCTGCCTTCAGCTCAGGTCGTGATCCCGGGGTCCTGAGGTCAAGTCCCACGTCGGGCTCCCTGCTCGGCAGGGAGTCTGCTTCTCCTTCTGCCCCTCCACCCTGCTTGTGCTCTCTTTCAAATAAATAAATAAAATCTTAAAAAAAAAAATCTAACGGCGCACAGGACACGGTACTAGGCTTTGGGTCAAATGCTTGATTCATCCAGGAAACTGACCCATGGGGCTCAGAGGCTGGCTCAGATTTTTCAGGAGAAACTGTAGACCTTCAAAGTATACGAACATCCTGGCTTGCAACTCACAGTCTCTTGTCCTGGAGGGAAAAGGATAGTTGACGAGAAGTCTCCAGAAGATCTATTTCACCTCTCCTCCAGGTGAACCTTGGTAGGTTAAATGTTTTTCTGGGTGGGACTTCTCTATCTTGAAAGAGAACGATGCTCAGTCTATACCTTTTGCGCTTCTTGTTTCTTCTTCACCAATAATATGTCAGTCAGTTGCTTGTCAGAGACCTTCAGCTGCCGACAGGTTCTCATTACCTGACTAAGATAAACTGCCAAGAGATGCTTGCACTGGAACACAAAACACAAACCCGTTAGAGATGGGCAGGGCTGAAGCTGACCAAGACCTCTTGCTACATTTACTAGGAAAGGAGTGGGGCGCACACGTTATGGACTCACTGCCTAAAAACCGCAGTTGAAGATGACCCGATGTATTCTTTCTAGAAATCCGAGGGGATGAAGAAAGTTTTACTTTGCCTGTTTTGGGAAGCCATTTAGACCCAGCTGACACAGGGTTTATAACCCACCGTGCAAACCAAGACAGGCCCCTCATTTTCGTCTTCAGCTCTGCTTTCCTCCAGCCTTCAGAACACCCTTCACAGCGATGGCGGACATTCCTTGACCTACCATGTTGCTCAGTGCTTCTCACAGATGATCTCACTGAAATCTGTCGGCTACCCCACGAGGACAGGTCTTGTCCCCATTTTACCCACGCGCTGAGTCTGCGGGCTGCTCCCTTAACTGCCGTGCTGTCCCACGGGTGGGTCGCAGAACCCTCCCATAGAGGCCCGTACACACCTCTGGGGACATGCTGGACCTTCTGTCCCAGAACATGCTCAGCTTTAGATACTGAAGGGGCCCGAAGTTTAATCCTGTCATTTCACAGGTAAAACACACTCATGACACGTCAGCTGTGAAGGTGGTCTTTTAACAACGAGATATCCAACCAGCCACCCCCGTTCCCAAGATGTTTACCAAGTTAACAGTATGAGAGGAAGAATGGAGCGGGTACTGTAATTTTCCTTGGCAAGTCTTATAAAATAGCTACCTGCTCTCGGGTGGGTAGTGCTTTCTCATCTGAAATAAGGAGTTATGGGAGTATGGCTTGCTCCTGCTTGATGCTCTGGGCGCCCGTGAAATGGGCAAAAGTCTCCCTGTGCTCTCCTGCCCCACGTTCAAGGCTGGCATGGCTAATGCCAGGCTGTCTTACGGGCAGTGGGAAGAAACACCTCATAGCTGGAGTAGGGGATCTGCAAAGTTGCCAACAATCAGTTTAGCTCATATTTTTACTGGGCCCTCTAATTCCCCAGAGCCAACTCGAAAAATCATTTCGAGATTACTTTGTTGCCCTCCATAAGGCTTCATCAGTGACCTTTTAAATAAAATAAAAAATAAATAAAAAATCGGGTAATGGATATAGATCTAAAAATGACACTGCATTTTGGGAGGGTAAACCCAAAAGAGATGACTAACTGCAATCAAGGACAGTAAACTATTTGTTTCGACATACAGTAAAAATTCCCATTTTGTATAACGCTTACGCCACGCGGTAAGGGCCAAGAATTTGCTAATCTGACTAGAGTGGGAAGAGCCTCCCTTGTGCTCACCAGGAGGCTGTCACTCTTCCGCAGCACCGAGAAGGCAAAGGCAGGACAGGAACAGTAATGACAAGAAGCCAGGCATGTGTATGTTTTACCAGAACTTCCCAGTACCTAGAAAGAAAAGGAGAGATGTGATCAGACTTCGAAAGGCGTGCTGGAAAACAGCCTCCTTCCCTTGAATTTATCCATCCGAGGATTCAGAGTTGCCCTGCAAATCGCACTGGGAAGAACTGCAGTAACATGTGACCCAAAAGTGCAGACTCTCCCCTCCTCCTCGGGGCTCTGCCCTCGAGGGCTTCATACAAGGAAACTGGACTTTCAGACTAGCTAAACCATCCTCCCCCTAGCAATTTAGAGAGCCCACTCCATGGGCTGCCTAGAAAGAGGTGGAGGGGAAAGGTCGGACACACTTATCGTGGGGTTTCTTAACCTTTGGTGTTTCACAATGGGTGTGTGCATTTCTAAAGCTTCCACCACACACTTAAAGTGTGAACACAGGTAAAGAGTCAAGCAGTGAGGTAGGAAGACGGGTCTTCAGAAGAAGGAAAGGGCTCTTAAAAAACATTTGAGAGCAGGGAGAATAAATAAAGCAAAGAATCTTGCTGAGGCATGACTCAGCTGCACAGGGTGCAGGTCTCTGAATGAGGCACGCCTGGAGCTGCCTATTCATCCAGCAGGATGGAAGAAGGATATAGATACTTGAGGGGCTGGTTAAGAGGCCTAGTCCAGGAACAAATCGCCTTGTTGGTAGTTGGGGGACAAAAAGGAGACAGGCATACAGGGAAATTCTGATGTGTCTGTGGCATGAATGGACAAACTTGTCAGAGAAATCACTTGTTGACGTCTCTCTACCGCCAAGCACCCCAAACCAAAAATGTCTGGGGCTTCATTCCTGGCTTTAATTTCCAAACCAGGAGTGTAAAATCAGTATCCAAGGAAGTAGAAACATCTTGAGGGGCATTTTACCATGACCTGCCACTTAGGAATTTGCCACAGGGCTTTCAAATTAGTTTTAGGCTCTGAGATGGCAACTGAAATGAAAAGGCCAGACTTAAAAAAAAAAAAAAA